CTCCTCGGAGTGTGGGACCGCAGCTAATCATTATCTCCGTGTGCATTTCATTCTCTGCAATAGCCTCCCCGGCGTATACGACCCATCTGCTGTCCTTAACATCAATCAATTCATTCACGGATGTAGAAGACTAGAAACAACTTCAGAAGTAAGCACGACGAAAACTTTAACGAAATTACGCAATAACCACAAGGTACGAAAACAACGAGTAAACACAATGAATCCAAAAACACCGATTGATATGACACAGCACACGTATATGCAACAGTACACATAAACTCGCAGATCATGTCTCGATGGAATTCCTCTAGGTAATTGCAGGAATTGAACCAGTACGCCTGCAACCCTTCACAGTTTGACGATTGTAATTTGTGGAATGTCCGGACACAAACAAGATTAACCAACAATTACAATAATTGGAACTCACACAATTATTTAATACAGACATACGTACAATCAATACATGAAATGTTGTGGACTCTACTATGACGAACTACTCATGAAGAACTGTAGGACTTACAGCAGCACGCCTACATTCCTTCTCAGGTTGATGATCCAAGTGGAAGTCGTCCGGACACAAATAGAATTACCAACAGATAGATGAAATATGATACCAATTCAGCATATACAACATGAACATACGTACAAAATCACACACCAAGCACGTTGGGCTGCTCATTGATGCGCTACCCTTTGAAGAATTGTAGGACTTACAGCAGTACACCTACAACCCTTCTCAGGTTGACGCCATACGTTGGAAAATCGTCGCAGAGTTCATTTGCTGACTTCCTTCTATCAACTATATCCTCAAATCTGAACGGTAACACGCTCATATCATTGTGTCGTAGAATAGAGATGAATAACAACCAAGCGTAGAAACTGAGTAATTTACACCAAAGATAATAGCATTCAAATAGTAATTTGAAAATAGAAATGCCTTTATTCATGCAAGTCAGTTTAACAATTACTCTCTCGTACACACCTGGCTTATCCTTACTAAACTGAGCAATATCCTTCGTCCTTTCAAATGCACCAATACTATCATAGTCATTGTACAAGGTACTTGAGTTGATGGGTGTCCTTCTCATTGTGGATGACAACGCCAACGACAACTGATTGATACCAGTTGATGAACTTAATGGTGGATCAGAAGCTGTTCTTGTTCGACTTTCAGAAATTTGTCTAACTGCAAGATTACCACCACTTTTCTCTTTTACTATCAGCTCCGGTTTAGCACTATCATCTGATGATAGGTGGGCTACACGCTGATCAATTACACTGACGGCCTCACAAGTATCCCTATCTTTTGCAACTGCATCTGCATTTAATTCTACTTCACGTTCAAGTTGTACAGAACCTTTGTTCAACTTAGCAGTAGTAGGCATATCCCTCATCTCATCATGATCAACCAAAGACAAATGTGCACTATCATGATCATTATCACAAATATTCACTTTACCGTCAATCTCATCATTCTCAAACTCTTTAATAAGAGAAGTAGATAATTTTGGTTCCTCCTCGCAAATCCTAATAGGTTTTATAACTTCACTCTGACTAGTAATACCTTGTAAACTTGTGGAGCCAGTACTGGACTCTGAAGCAGCAACTCTATTCTGTGACACTCTATTCAACATTGGCTTACTGGTTGCAATTACAGACTTCTTGACCGCACCGTTATCGTCACACAATTCGGAGTCAGACCTTGATTTCACATTTAGCTTATCACTGAACTTGCTCACTGGTTCACAGTTCACCTTTGTATGCACCTCTTGCAAACGTGTAAAACACAACGTGTTTGTCTTGCATCTTGTAACTTATCTATTGAGGATGTACTACGAAACCTGTTACACTCACTAGGTCTATATGCATTACTAGACATCATGAAGCCTTCTCGATATTCACCTCTCTGAGGCCTACTCGTCATCAATGATTGCGTTTTGCCCTCAGACTGCTCTATTCTAGGGGTGAGATGCAATATACTGGCAAACTTGCTCATAGATTCATTGACACTATCGTTTACCAGTTTCAGAATATCATCGAACTTTGGCTCAATACCTTCATCCTCTATACGAGAGCTTATCTTCACCCACTTCCTTTGCAGTCGAGTATGTAGGCGTGTCGCTATTACCTCTAGGACGGAACTTGAGTTCAGATCACTCATGCAATTCATCGAAATCAACGTATTCTTGTAGGTCAACAGATTATCCAAAAACTCACAGAGTGCCTTGGAGTCATCTCGTAATTGACCACCATTACCCTTGACAGCCTCGAGTAATTTCCCTACAATCATCGAAGGTCTTCCGAATCTTTGACGTAGCATACTCATAGCCTCAGAGTATCCTTCATTTGGGGGCATGAGCTTACAGCACTGTATAGCTCTTGAAGCTACTCCAGTGCAGTACCTCATCAAATACATCAATTTCAATTCATCACTTAATAAAAAACTACTCAGCATGATCTCAAACTCCTTTACAAACTGTAAATAATCGGCTGGATTTCCGTCGAAACACTGTGGTTCAAATTTAGAAAGTTTGATATTCCTATTATCCCTAGACGGCGAAACAGTAACATCAACCATGTCATGTTTAACAACAGACACATCGTTGCAAGTAACAGATAGGTCAGCATGACTTACTCTCCTGTTCGCTTCCAAGACGCTCTGTCCATTCTTTGACCCAGGCATTATTGAACGTAACCGAAATTCCAGAAAGTTCCAGATAACACTTGTTCAAAGAGGACTTGGCCGGCACCAGGAAAGACGGACGGAAACTATACAAACGTCAGTAACTGTCAATCACGTCTCAAAAACCGTTAATGCCCAGCTCTTGCTACCCCGGGCCCCTCGATGTCCATGGAAGCCTTTCAGAAACGCTTAGTACTAACGGATGCAAAAACCAAAACACCGATTGTCGACTCGAGAATTCTTTATTCTAACGCCGACATATGAGCAGCATAATAACTAAGGTCTATGAACAAATATTACAATAATAAATCACGATATTACTTCTGACGGTTTTTTACGTGCTTTCTGAACAGCGACCGATGAGACGATGACTGGTGTATTGATGCCTCCGCGAAAATACAGGGAAGTTGGGTTTGAGCAAACAACCATGAATTGATCGTTCAATCTTCAACTACATTGACAACTTAAGTGACACTGTTTTATGTGGGTGAAACAAAGCACCTCTAAGTGTGACTAGCTTATTGAACTTAGTCAGAATAAACTGAATATTATCTTCTCTCAAGCCCCAGTACAGACCCATTATTCTAGAAATCAGATGCATATTGATCAACAAGTCATATACTACTGATGCTTTACCTTTTGCTCCTGTCTACTTCGGTGCTTCCGTACCACAACATGTACATTCGGTTATGCCTATACTAAGCTCATCAGAAGCACAGAAATTATCTGGTGCAATTCTGCCCGCTGAATTAAGCTCAACGAAGAAGATGAAATCATTGTGCACATTAAGGTAGATGTTGACAAAACCCACTAAACCACAGAAACAAGACACGGGACTGACCTTAATTAAGGCAAAGATGGGATTCAAAGTGCTAGACAGTGGCCTTTACCTCGTATACTAACAGTACGCTATGGGCCCCTATCCAGTCACAAAAGTGTAGAGAGATTTTATCTCCCAAGGTCAAGTTTACTTGCAAGGGTGTTTCTTCGCTACCTGAAACAACAAAAATAGATGGCTTCCGAAGCCCTGATGATAAATCAACCAGCAGTCCCATATAATCAGGCCTCCTTTATAGAACGGTATATGTGAACAAACCGGTGCACAGTTTAACAACCATCTTCAGGTTAAAATCTGCATGCCGAAAGTGATACGAAATTCTCAGTACTAGTATACCAGGCCGGTTATCTACTGTGGTTGAACGACTGTGAGCTGGTTCGCTTTGTCCTTAACTGGGAATAACTTACATGACAGTTGTATAGCTATCTCTACTGACAGACATGATATTTGGCCAAACATGTAGGTAGCATCGTAGTCTGGATAAAGCCAAACTGGTGAATAGGCTACTCTTAAAGCTGCAGTAAGCAGGGAGAGAGAGAGAGACGCAGTGCTTGCACCCAACCAAAGGCGTATTCAGCCGAGAGGAATAGCAGGAAATTGTAGAAAGTTAACGGCAACGCTGTGCAGTACAGAAAACGACGACACTACACCGCCCCGATAAATATTTCAGCTTTATTAAGTTGTTAGCCCGCCACTAACAAATATAACTTCCACAAAGACAAGACCGTCTATAGGTCCACTATGCCTATGAATTCACTACCATGCTCCGATTACGCGTTCGTCCCCTTCAGAACACAATCCTATAGCTTCGTGATACTCAGAATCGAGGTAGGCTTCGAGTTAAGGGTCTCAGAATTACCGATGTGGTGCTCTACCACCTGAGCTAGGAAATCTAATTGCTATACAAGTCACCGCTTTATTACAACCACCACGAGTATCTCTCAGTGTTTTCCGTTACCCTTCCTACTTGATATGTAGATGTGTGACGGCGGCCAGCAGATGTACAGTTACCCACGTCCTACGTTGACAATTTTTCATTTCTTCGAGTCCCGAGTAAAACACAGGACTTTACGCTTGTACTTTGAATTCTCGGTTGGGATGGCGTTGTTTTTACGGGATGACATTGCTAGTCTGACGTCAAACCTTACATCTATACGACTCCTACTACCAACTAGGCGGGGTTACGAGGTGCGATCACTCAAGGTGGTAGCATATTATTCAGAAATGAAAAAAGAACAATAAATAGCCTGTGAAAAATATAATTTACAGTCACAATACGAACACAACAAAGCAACTAATGAAAAAAAAAACAGGTCGACAGAGACAAGGATATATACAGGTTCATTATACGACAACAGATTAAACTGATTGAAGCACGATGATGATATGTCAGACAAAAGATTTTTCCAGTTACTAGTTTCATTCATTCATTCTTTCAGAAGTTACTGTACCTACCACCACCACGTGGTCCTCGCCTACCTCTTGCGCTAAATACTCGACGACCACCACCACGACTGTTCCCTCGATATCCTCTGCCCGATGTAGGATATGGCTGATGGCTAAAGTGAATATCATCAAATTGATTGGAATTCATAGATGCTGAATTTGATGAAGATCCATAAGGTTTTACACGGTCAGCCGGTGCTGGAGGTACCATATCTATAGTTATCTGAAGCAAAAATAACAGAATCACAGTAAATTAAACATATTAGCTAAAAGTATAAACACAATAAATTATATTAAGTAATCGGACTTTAGAAAGTTTATCCTTCCCCTTAGATTTGTAAGCAAAATGATAAACCAAAGGACTTTTGAATCTGAACAACACCACTGTGGTGAGAGGTGTGTGCTAGCCGAAATTAGTAGGCAACAATTTACGCCAATCTGTACGTCCCCAATATTGGTCAAGAGAAAAACAAGAACAAGGACTTTTCGTGGGCGGATACGATTCGCAGATATATAGGGTCTGACCTTCAAAAAAATGGCCACAAAGAGAAGACAGAATAACCTTGAGTAAGAAGACAACCAATCAGAAGACGCTGTTTCTCTGCTAATAATAATGTACATAAAAATCTATAAATACCTCTTGATTTTCTGAATAAACGATCTGTCGCCTGGCCCCCACGTATTCTGTCGTTACACTACGACCTGCGAACCGTAGCAATAGACACGAAGAAGGCCATAAGTGAATACACGAATATTAGGAAATTGCTGCACACAGCTACTCCTTGGAAAGTTGAATTCGAAGACGATAAACTAACGTTCACTAGATTTTCAACCGGGGCAATCTACCAACCATAATGAGGCTTCCGTCTCTTAATCTAAAGGCTGTTAGATTAGGCCCTACTGTGGCTACTGTTTTCAATTCAAGTTCGACCAATGCTACATTACCGGTCTGGTGAATTGTTATTGTATGCAAAAGGAGAAGCAAATGGTATTCAAAGTTTACACACAAGAATAAGACCAGTTAAAAATCAGAATTTTTGCCGGAAATCTCATGACCCATTGAAAAGTCTTTCCTTCACGACGAAGTCTCATGAAACGAAAGCCACGCGAACCAAACAGTAGTAAACTAAACACTTCACAACATCGACATATAAGACCCTTGTTAGAAACATATTGAAATGATTGATTCTTGATCACAGACTGATATCAGATAGAGAACCATCAAGGAATACTGGACAGCTATCTGTTTCACTCTGGCTCAGGACTCAGGTTTTTCCGGTTACAAGTAGAGCCACTTCGTGGACCACTAAGCCACTGGGACGCAACTCAATGACCAGACCGCGACTTCTAACTTCTATTAATTCATGAATTTTAATGCAAACACCAGTCATTGGTCGTCAGTGAATATTTGTCCTTGTTCCCTACAAATGGAACCCACTGGTCACGAATTCCTACTAAAAACACCACCAAATTCGTCCTGAAGCTAGTCACTGGCGAGCAATATTTATAACTCCACATGAATTGGTTTATTTCGGATTGAAATACCTTGTCAATGTTCTGATGTTGACCCCTTGCTGAGACGTCTAGATGACGTCTGGAACTTAAAACATGGTGTTACTTGATCAATGATAACTGGGTCCAGTGGAATCCAGTATGCGATATTTCGTCTTACTTAGGACTCAACACTGGATTTAGCCAGCGAAGATGGTACACCTGTTGATAAAAATCTGCAACAGACTTTTGGAAATCCTTTTCGCGACACACTTACCAAGTTTCTGACCCGTATGAGAGCACTGACCAATTTGACATTAGTGTTGGAAATGCGAATCTTGTTCCTTATTTGGTTGGTTGAGTGTGCAGTGCAGAAGATTTGCCAAACTGGTCTCAGGTTGATGAAGGCTTGCGTATCTTGTCTTTCCGATTCTGGCTGACTGACTGGCTTTGATATTTTCTCAGAGTGTACTTTATCTTGTATAATATTGACTTTATTCAATCAAATGTCTAATCATCAATTTTTACTCGTGTATGATTATAAGCAGTAACAATTTGTGCTCGAAACGTGATTTTATCAAAATAAGATTTTATCCATAATGTGTAACAACAGAAGACAAGGGCCAGACAAACAGATCGTTTATTTAGGAAATCAACAGATATTTTTTAGATTTTCATGTACATTATTAATTATAGATTATTGTTAGCAAACAAACACAGTCTTCTGATTGGTTGTTTTCACGCTGGAGGCTATTCTATCATCTTTTTGTGGCCGTTTACTTTGAAGGTCAGACCACATATATATCTGCGAATCGTATCCAGCCACGCAAAGTCTGCTGTGATTGGTTGTTGAGTTAGTCTTTGTTCTTGTTTGATTTTCTCATGACCAATATTGGGGACGTAAACATTGAAGTAAATTACTGTCTACCGATTCGGCTAGCAGCCAGCTCTCACCACAAATGGAGTTATTACTCAACCACCACCCCCACGGGGCCCAAGTTTTATCCTTATATCAAACATAGACATAGGCTCAAAGATTTACACACACACACACATACACATAAACAAATACTTACTTTCTCTCGATTCATTGTTCTTATCAAACTGATTGGTACAATTTCTTCTTCTATATTAATTTTCCCTGTAGCATTATCAGGATGTAGATAGGCGACAAGAACAATCTTTTCGCCTGAACTGCCGCCACCAGTATTACTGCTGGACAACTTTAATTGTTCTGATGAGAGATAACCAATTAATTGAGCTTCTTCATAATCACCAGATATATTCTGTGCTAAAATTGGACAACCAACAGACAGTACCTGATTAACAGGTGGTTTTAATCGATGGTTAACTGTCTGATGGGCATCTTTTGTTGTTGGTGGTGCTGGTGTTGATTTTGTTGGCATTGAATCAATAATTAAATCATCAAGTCGGACAAATCCAGTTGATGGTCTACTCTGTAGAGTATCTGCTGATGATGAATGGAACTTTTACCGCATCAGTAAAACATACAATAGAGAAACAAAGAGAGGAAGAGAATGATAGAATAGGCGAGAGGCAATAGAACAGTAGGCAAAGTCAGTCATTAACATACACACACAACACCACCATATAAACTAAATATGAAACGCTGAATGTATATATAAAAAACCAAATATCAAATATCTCTATGTTTTGGATGCTAAATTAAATTGAATGTATACCAGAACCAATTATTGTTATTATTATTATTATTGACTCCATTAGTTCCTAGAGGAATAACATAGGGCTTCATCTGCAAGTCTCTATTGCGTTCGATTCCCAACGTTTCCACCCACGTCCACGTCTGCCTAAATGCTTACATCTCCTCTCTACATGACCTCCTCCATGTCACCCTCGCACTGACAACCAACTGCTTTGTTTTCTCAGAGTATGGCGAGCTCATCTACCTCCATTTCCCAGTTTACTGTCAGCATTATCTGAGGTACTAGTCAAATTCTGGGAATCAGAAGTCCCATCGGGTTGGTGTAAGTCACTGATTATCCCCATATACAAGAAGGGAGACAAGTCTTCCTGTGATAATCACAGAGGGATTAGCTTGACTAATATAGTACCTAAAGTCCTAGGCTCAATATTGTTGCTTAGACTAAGTCGTGTCCGGGAGGTACAAACACAAGAGAGCCAGGAAGGCTTTAGACCAGGAAGAGGGTATATTGACCATATCTTCACCTTTCGACAGATTGTGGAACGTAGGCATACTTACCGGCGTCCAACAGTCGTAGTATTTCTTGACTTTAAGGCGGAATTCGATTCCGTCGACCGAGAGGTACTCTGGCGATGCTCGGCCGTAAATGGAATGCCGAGAAAATACATTGCACTGATCAAGGCACTCTACTCGAACTCATGCACTCAACCAGGTGAGGGCTTACGGCGAGTTGTCATCTGAAGTGGTTACGACTAGTGGTGTCCATCAGGGATGCCCATTATCCCCATTCCTATTCAACTCCATCATAGATGTACTGATGGACTTAACCCTAACTCACATCAGAGACACAGGGATTGACTTGCTACAACCAGGGAATAATCTCGTTGACTTAGAATATGCAGACGATATAGTTCTTCTAGGCGAGGACGCTGACAGAATAGGGCAGAGTCTTCTGAACACCTTGAGCTGCAATCTACGAATGTTTGGCATGTGATTCGCTCCCATCACTCGAATGTAAGATGATGTTACAGGACTTGACCACACTGACTCCCAGTTTAGAAATAGGAAGTGAAGTGGTTGGTGGAGCGTGTTGACCACTTCACTTATTTGGGAAGTACCATCAGACAGCGCCAACGGGTTGACTTCTGACGAAATCTCAGAACGGATACAGGGGGCTCGTTTCGCATATGCCAGTTTACATCGTCTCTGGCGTAGATGTGACATCCGACTATCGACCAAAGGGCGGGTGTACTGCTCATCAGTCCGCCCCGTCATCCTTTATGGCTGTAAGCGAGACCTGGCCACTGAGAGTGGAAGACATGAAAAGATTAGCTGTCTTTGATTATAGGTGCCTGCGCTCTATCTCCCGTATGAAGTGGTATAATAAGGTGAGCAATATTGAGGTTAGGCGTCTAGTGCTAGGTAAGCATGGGAAATCAGTCGACGAGGCTGTGAAGCTTCGTCGACTGACATAGTTAGCACATGTGTTACGTATACCCAGTCATCACCTTCCTCGACAACGGTCAATGTGATATAGGGTCAGGTTGGAAAACAGCTAGCGGCGGTCAAACAAAAACATGGCACCAGTCAATGAAATCCACAAGGACCATTAGATCGGGTCCCAGAGGCTTAATGGTAAACGAGCTCACCTTGTAACAAGAAGGTCCTGGATGCGTACTGCTGAAGAGTCTCAAACTAGGACGAAACAGCTGTCCAGTACTTCCAGGTTTTCCAATGGTTCTCTAACTAATGTCAGCTCATGATGAAATCTTCCATACAATCAAACAAAATCCCTACAAACCAACACTGGGAATCCACAACAGTTAGTCTAGCCCATGTAGGAAGGTGTAGACTTCCTCGGGACGGTAAAAACCAATAGTTGGAAATAATTGGTGATATGGCTCAAAATCGTTCTCAGTGGCTGGCCAGTGCAGATGCATCCACTCCTTGTGACTTATGATTTCCAATGAAACTATATTGTTCTTCGTTATTACTATTCCTTTGTCTCACACCTCTGTTTATTGTCTCTAATATGTATTTTTTCTACTTTCTTATCGAGTATGGCAACTCGAACTGTCGCACATCGGCACAAATTTCATTGTCAAAAACAGACAGACATACCTGTATTTCTTCTTGCATATTTGTTGCACAGTGTGCATAGGTCTACGTTGAAACCATTCAATCAGTCAGTCAGTTACCATAATATTGTAAGAATCAACTTACCCGAGATGAATTCATCTCATCGCCGTCTATTGAATTAAATCGACCATGTGATGAACCACCACGACCACCACGACTTCCTCTACCACCACCATATGGTGGTCTAGATCCACGTGTCAATGAAGCAGAAATCATCGGTGTCTGATGATTATTCACTGGATTCTCATCCAAATGCATAGATGTTGATGCAGACTTTGAAAGAAGATAGTCAACTGCAGCTTGATAATTACCACGATTAATTTTCAATGCACTACTTGCTAACTGATATGGATACCCCAATGATAATAACTGACTGATGGCGAGACTGTATTCTTCAGATTTTTGTAATTGTAATTGATAAAATCTAGAAATAAACATTAGCAAAAAGTGAGATACGAGAGAGCTAATCAAACTTAAAACTACCACAGAAAATTACTATTGTTTCGGGTTCTGAGTGGAATACAGCGGGGGGGGGGTGGTGGTGGTTCCAGAAGCACACCTCTACTGCACCTTGTTCTCACCAGTCTCTTGACTTCTCATAACTCCTCATTCCCTCCATTCAAATGATCTCCTCTATGTCACTCTCTGACCAAAGCCTAACTTGTCACTTCTCATTCAGGTTCCATTCGATCAATAGCGGTCATTCACTCAGACATTACTCAACCAACGCCTCCTCTTACAGTTTGTCAACTCCTGCATCACACCTATTCTTTTTCTTAACTGTTCACCCTTATTCCCTCCTGGATTGCTTGAAAAAGACTATGTCATACTTCGTAGAACTCTGTAGGCTGTCAGTAGGACGAGTGGTATGCTAACCCATTGGGTCATATCGTTGACATTGTCACTGATAAGCACTTGATGTCATGCGACAAATTTGATAAAGGAATTTTGTCAAACTGTAAGCATCCATCGCACCATCCACAGTTCCAACCTTGTGTTTCTCTTCCTCAGGTGAAACAAGAAATCATTTCAGAAGACTTTATGCACGTACGTCTAGGTATAAAAATTCCACTATACCATATTTCGCGGCAAGTACTTTATGCGATGAAAATAGTGTCAGGCATGAACTAACTAACCCTCTTTGCACTAGTAAATAAACAATCTCATCCATCCTTATTCCACCAAGCTTTATTGTTATTGAACTTCTTATATTTATAATCCTCTCAACTTTTTGTTTGTTTATTTTTCATAAGTGTGAACATCATTTAAGCTGTGTTATATAACTGTTAATTTTGTATTTCCCCTCACCATTATACTATATCAACACAACATTATATTCAATAATCTATAACATGCTAAAATTTCCAAACCGAATCAACAACACTGTTTGAAAGAAACTCACTGTTATTATTATTATTCTCATTTTTACTTCGAATATTTTTGACTTTATACCGTAATTTTGTACTTCGGATGATCTAATTAATGTTCTGATTTGGGACTTACTACTAACTGGTTTCTTCTATTTTGCAAGACTTCAACGAACAATCAAAAATTCATGTCACACCAATCCTTACCGTCTTGTAAACCGTCAATACGACGATTTAGAATGTTTTACCACTAGTCATTAGCTAGCCAGATAGCTTTACTCCGAATTAACAAAGCGACAAACACACTTATTAATTAATTAATTAAAAGCCCCACTTACTTGGATAAACCAGGTTTAAATCGTCTAGTTGTACTGCCTGAGAATGTTCTATTCACATTATGATAATTTGAAACAGTCTTATCCCCACCACGACCAGCAGCAGAAGAAGAAGTAGAGTTGGATGCTTTTAATTCAGCCAGGATTTCTTTACGTTGTTCATTGAATATAGCTTGTAATTCACTCTCCTCTTGTGGTTCATTACGTGTTGTTGCCATTTGGAATGAATCGAATTTCACTAGGATAAAAGTTCAAACGAAAGAAAAATAGTTTCATACTACTGATGAAATGCCTAACTCTAAAGTTTCTCAAAGCAATCTCTATCATATGCCTGAAGCCCGATTTATGTGCTCAGAAAGAAGCAGTTATCAGTCTTTTATTGACAACCTAGTGGTAACTGGATGTCTTTACCTCCCATTTGATTACATAATCTTTGGCCTTATCCCCTTGTCTTTATTATATGACGCCTTTACACCACTGTATGCATTCACTGATTTTTTGTCTAAGGTTAAGCCCTATAAGCATGAACTATATAAGTGTAATTTTCTGAGCACTAATCACTAAGTTTGGAGTCTCCTGTCAATCGATATCATGAACCATTTGCAAGTATGTTAAAAGTTTTCTGTACATAAACTTAATAATGATTCCTTTAGACTGTGTACGGAGCAGCTGAGAATTCTACATTAGTTTGTTTATTAGATGTATCACACAGTCAGTGAAACAGCAGTATTATTTACTGGATGACAAAATTTCGAACAAAATTTATTTATTGTCCATGATCATATCAGTTATAATCACACGACTTTGAAACTTCAGTTTTATAGTTTTCCTTGCTCTCTCCTATTTGTCGTCGTTAGGGAAGCAGAATTTTCCAGATATCTGGGTGGACAGGTGTTAAATCATTCCTACTACACGTATTCTCTCTAAGTTGATTCGATTAACAAAGCTTCCGTTATTAATCTCTCCCTCCCATCCTATTGTATGGTTGTGTGTGATTGCATGTAATGCTATGGCTGAACTATTCTCTAGATTTCTTATTTTATTCGGGTCAACTAATCTAGATTTGGCTAAGTTTTGTACTGCTCCGCTAGTCTGACTGACCCGGTTCTACTACTTTGACCTGACATTCATTCCAGCGGGGTATTAGGTAAACTAAATTGTTTTGTTTTAATGACCTTACAGGATTGATACTTTAACTCACAAAGCTTGTTTCTAATTGAGTTTGTGGGTGGTTTCCAAGAATTCTGTGTAAGGTGGTTTCTGACGTTCCTTCATTGCAATGATGATTTAGATTCCTTATTGTAGGTGCTGTCATTATCTTGCGTATGTTTGATATACATGTCATCATTACTATTATTATTATTATCAATATCACTATTATTATTAATTCTATTTTTACATTTCCCTACATACTTTCTGACTAATTTATCAGGGTAATTATCAAGTTTCAAAGCCTCTCTTATATGTATCAATTTCTGTCTTGTCTGTCTGTCTGTCTGTTTCCGACATAGAACTTTGCACAAATGTGCGCCCGTTCAAGTCGCCACATTCCGTGTAGCACGCGAAGCAAGAGAAGAAAGTACAAGAAAAGCATAATAGAAACAGTGAGCAGAGGTGTGAGACAAAGGAGTAATAAAGAAATACAAAACAGTTTCATTGAAGATCTGTCTTAGATTTTCCTTGGTACTACTTATTGACATGGGATTGGATGATCGGAAGTCCAAATATCTGTTTGAATGTGTGGGTTTCCTGTAAACACACCCTAGTGTTTAACTTGCAATCTTCTTTTCTTTTCACGCTACAATCTTACATTGGAAGCTCCCTTTCCTGACTTTCCAGTTCATAAGTGAATTGAATTAAGCAGCAAAAATTAAGTGAAAATCGACAAACTGGTCGAAGAAGCAGCCAGCGAAGACAGGACTCCAAGTGAACACAGACAAGACGCGGAGGTTATGAAAATAACCAGCCAACAATAACAACAACAGCAGCAACATCCAACCCCAATCACCATCAACAGGAGGGATTTGAAAGAGGTTACTTCATTCACTCACTGATCCAGGGAGCACTGTCTCAACTATAGGAGGAACGGACGAGGATGTCAAATCGAGCGAGAATCAGGAAGGCGAGAAACACATCAACATCGTCAACCTGAAACCAATCTGGATATCTTCGTCACTCAGCCAGCATCAACAACAAAATTCGGTCGGATTTTCAATACAAACGTCAAGTCAGTCAGTTCTTCTATACGGATCCGAAACTTGGCAGGCGGGTCACAAATAATATTTCCACCAACAGCCTGTTGCAGACCTTTATCAGCAACTGTCTTCGCTCGCTCCATACTGAAAATCAGATGGCCGGGCCGGAAAGAATCACCAACAAGAAACTATGGGCACAAACAAACAAAACAAGAACAAATCGCCAAGTAACATATATGCAGGGGAAAGTGGAGATGGATCGGACACTCGCTGAGGAGGCCACTGGGTGACATCGCGCGTCAAGCACTTGAGTGGGACCCGAAAGGAAAGCGGTGAGTGGGACGTCAGTGCACGAGTGACATGGAGGAGATTGTGTGAAGAGGAGTTGAAACAGTATGCACTAATATGGATACAGATGAAAAGTACAGCAGAAGACAGAAGCAAGTGGAGACGTGCAGTTGAAGTCCTATGTTCCACCGGGAACCCAAGAGAACAATAGTAATAATGCAATCCATTAACTCTCCACAATAACTTTGTCGTTCAATATGTGTATCACACAACACCGCCGCATGCAAAACACATCCATCCATCAACAATATATACATGCAATATACTCACTTTGATTATTTTCACGATCTGATCGAAGTTGACTCAGAAATTTTCCTTCACTTTGTATCAAGTCTGTAGCTTCACGACTACCGAATGGAACAAACACTGGAGCTCCACCAGTGATATTACGATTTTCAGTACCTTTAAGAAACTAAAAACAATTAAAACAAAAATGCAACGGATTGCATATTTTTCCAAAAAACTTCTCTGTTATTTATTTTAATTGAATTTTAGATTTTTCCCATCGATTGATTCGACCAAAGTGCTCGGTCTCAGGTTGACATGTCTGTCGACGATGTCTGGTCATGTAACTAGCAGTGGAATCCACTAGGATGCGCATTTCGTCCTATTTGGCACTCGTCAGCTGGTCACTAGGCTCGAGCCTCGGTAGGAACATCATCACTCACTGGGAGATGCAGGTACATCCAGTCAACTGACGAGTCCCAAGTAAGACGAAATGTGCAGCCTAATGGATTCCACTGCTAGTTACCATCCATCAATTAAAACTTCTCTGTTAATGAGAAGCTCTCAAAAATTGATTTGTAAGGATTAGATCTGTGTTTTTACTTTGACGACGAATTGATATCAGTTAAAAAACCATTGAAAAAGAGCAGAGATTACTGCACAGCTGTTTCACCAGCCAGTTTGGGAATCATCTGCACTACGCACCTACGACCTTCAGGTTACAAGGTGGTTCCTTTTGAAATCACGAATTGATATCAGTTGGAATTCATGGGCTGGCCATTGAGGAGTCGAGTTCCAGTGGCTGAATGGTATACGAGCCAGCTTGCCTTGTAACTGGAAGGTTCTAGGTTCAAACCCTTAGGGTGGGTGCGTACTGCCAATGATTCCCCAACTAGACTGATGAAACAGCTGGCTTTCCAGTACTCCCTGCCTGATTTTCAATGGTTCTCTAACTGATATCAATCCGTGGTTAAACTCGAAAAATAAGAAGTTCAACTAGAAATCAATAAAATTGTCACTATCAATATGCTGAATTACTCATATTGTAGAGAAGCATCTACCGTGTGAAAGAATAATTTTCTAAAGTTCTAGTGGAAAGTTATGACCGATGCCGTTTACCATTTTATGTTCGAGAACAATAAGAATGGATGATAGTTGCCTTATAGTTTGTCAAGTAGCTAAATGGCAAGGTTATAACGCGGCATGTTTGAACGCTGAGCCCTCGTCAATTGAAGCGATACTATCTTCGAAATATATTCTACTTTGTTTTTGTTGTAATCCATCAACTATGGCTATAAAACTGTATTATTTTCACCCGCACATTTTAAAAAACACTTCAACATTTCATGTTCCTAATAAATTCTACAAGGGAAAAATATTATAATGGACTGAAACAATGAGCAATGACGCATAATTAACATAAATTAAGTAACTATTATTCCAGAACTATTTTTTTCTTTTTATTATAGCTTGATTTCACACCGTATTTTCTCGTACAAGTATGAAATTTTCAGCATGTGATATTATCGGTAGCCCAAATTTTGCAGGACGGCCATTGTTATCAGGCCGGGGATCGAAATCAAGACCATGTGCATAGTCGGCGAGGATCCTAACTGCTGTGCCAACGACGTAGTCAACATAAACTGCGGATTTCGTAGATACTTTATTCAAGAATAGCAATTGGACACAGTGGTAGAGTATAATTTCATGGAAAGAATAAATTTATATGACACAAAAATATACAGTGATACAGTATTACTGATTGGTAATGTTTTCATTACAGTTTGTTGCTGTTCATCTGTCTGTCTGTCTGTTTTCGACATAGAACTCTGCACAAATGTGCGGAAGTCCAAGTCGCCACACTCCTTCCTTGTAGCACACAAAGCAAGAGAAGAAAGTACAAGAAATGCATAATAGAGACAGTAAACAGAGGTGTGAGACAAAGGAAGAGTAATAACGAAGAACAATGTAGTTTCATTGGAAATCATAAGTCACAAGGAGTGGATGCATCTGCACTGGTCAGCCACTGAGAACGATTTTGAGTCATGTCACCAATTGTTTCCAACCATAGATTTTTACCCTCCCGAGGACCCCAACCAGTCAGGAAGTCTACACCTTCCTACGTGGCTTAGACTAACTGTTGTGGATTTCATTGACTGGTTCGGCCAAGTTTTTGTTTGACCGCCGCTAGCGTTTTTCCAGCCTGACTCTATATCCGCTAACATTGCTCGTCGGGGAAGGCGATGACTAGGCATACATAATACATGTCCTAACCATCGCCTCAATCGATGTAACTTCACAACCTCGTCGAGTGGTTTCCCCTGTTTACCTAGAACTCGACGCCTAACCTCAATATTGCTCACCTTATTATACCATTTCACATGGGAAACAGAACGCAGGCACGTTTGACCAAAGACAGATAGTCTTTTCATGTCTTCCACTCTCAGTGGCCAGGTCTCACAACCATAAAGGAGGACGGAGCGAACTGCTGAGCAGTGCACCCGCCCTTTGGTCGATAGTCGGATATCACATCTACGCCAGAGTCGGTGTAAACTAGCATATGCGAAACGAGCCCCCTGTATTCGTGCTGAGATTTCGTCACAGATCAACCCGTTGGGGCTGATGGTACTTCCCATATCATATCAAGGTACTTCATATGAACTGTGATCGCGATTTGACCGGATAATTGCAAAACAATTGAGAGCCAAGTGAGAAGTAGACATTTGTAAAAGATTATATTTGTAAAATCTCAGCGAGATTGAAATGAGTAATTCCAACGCATCATTTCGGCAATCCGGTCCGAACTTCTTCAGGGAAATTAACATAACACAGGTTTATATGTAGAAAAGGGGGACATCTCTTGTTTTAAAAAACTTTGTCCAATCATGAGTCATGAAACAGGCATCAACATGTTGTACAATAAACAAAATTGTATGTAGCCAAGAATCTGATTACCAGAGCCAAACATCTAGTTACTGAGGAGGAAGATATTAGTAAGGAACTAAAAGTGGTTCAATCCACTCTCAAATCAAATAATTATCCTAAAGACTTCATAAAAAGATATTTAAAATGTGAAGATAAGGATGAATCAAAATCTACTGCTAAGAATTGGGTTAGTTTAGCGGTGATTTCTTACCGCAAAGAAACATCCAATGAAATAAAGCGAATCCTTAACGATCAGAACATAAAAGTGTATTTTCGTGCAACTAACACCTTACGCTCATCATTGGTGAAGGTTAGGGATAAAATAGAACAAGAAAACCAGCAGCTGATTGTGTAGACCAGATCAATTGTGGGGATTGTAACGCAGTATATGTAGGAGAAACTTCCAGACAGGTAAATATAAGAGTGAAAGAGCATAAACAATGTCTAAAGGTGGTTCCAAAGAGCTCTGCAGACTTGAAGAAGCTAGAAAACAACTCAGCGATTGTACTACATTCAATAGAAACGCGAAACAAAATCGACGTTGATAAGACTAAGGTTTTACAGAAAGGTTTTGGTTCATATCAAGAAAGACTGACTGCAGAAGCCCTCCCTACATATATGGGTGAATCCCAACAGTTTAAACAGATGTGAAGGTGTGATGCATGGCAAATCCTGACTAATAAATAAAAATTGGATATGTATCAACAAGTAGTCACACTTGGTCAAATTCCCGATTATCTACGTCTTTTTATAGAGAGAATAACAAATGTTTTATGACTGTTCACCTACAGACAAAGTTTCAAAAGCAACAGATGTTCCTTTTATGTATAAACCTGTGTTATGTTAATTTCGATTAATTTTGCTGAAGAACTTCGGACCAGATTACCGAACGAAACGTTGGAATGATTCGTTTTGATGTCGCTGAGATTTTACAAATATAATTTCTACATATCAAGGTACTGTCTTAACTTTCAAACTTAGTTTATTTAACCGCATTATTCTGTATCTTTTGATTTTATTTGTAGTTATATTTTCTATATCTCTGGTATTGGTGTTGAGTTATTCGTATTGCACATGTTAGGTGTAGATTCGATGAACAAAGGATATGTGTTATGTATACCTAGGCATCCCTTGCCTTTCTCGCACAAAACGGTCAAAGTTAACCGCTGACATTAAGATGGATCAGGTTGGCAAAGAGCTGGTACATGGTGATCAAATCTAAACATGACTTCATCAGTCAACGAAATGCACAACAGTTAGTTTAAGCCAACCAAATAGGAAGGTGTGAACTTCCTGATTGAGGTCTTTGGGATGGTGAAAATTAATGAATACTGATTCCATACTGTTCTCAATGGCGTAGATGCATCCACTCTTGGCAGTTTATAATATCAAATAAAATTCTATTGTTCTTTCATATTACTACTACTACTTTTTCCCTCACTCACAATCTTTGTTTATTATCTCTCTGTCTTTTGAACCTCTTTCAACTCTCTTCTCTTGCTTTGTGTGCTACATGCAGGGAGAGTGGCAACTCGAACTGCCTGCATATCTGTGTAAAGTTCTATGTTGAACCAAGCCAGTCAGTAGATGAACAACGATTCAGTAATGAACCTCTCTGTCTCTCTCTCTCCATTTATATCTATATTACTTTTTAAAGTTGTAACTCTATTTCACCTTGATGTGTGCTTGTGTGTTAATGCATACAGTGCAATCACCGAGTTTTCCAGAAGTCAGTCATTTCACATCTAACTAAATTTTTATGTTCTGAAAATCTGACTACCTCCGGATCTACTGATTTGGCCTATTCAGTTAACCTCACAATCATTAGCAAGGTACTTTATGGCTTAATTTGTACAAGAAATATACTTGGAGTAATATGAACATGTACCTGTATGGTTGAGTAAAGGAGTAACCAAAGGCATAAATAGTGCAGTCTTAGCCCACTTGGTAGATACTGGACACCCGATAAAACTTGACCAAGCGTTCTCAGTTATTAACCGCGTTCCTAGTAATTTATCTAGACGAGCTCGACTACGTCTTCTATCAGTAGCTGAAGCAGTTGCAGTTAATACCAGAAGACCATCCCTCTGCATACAGAAGAAGTATGTTCCACCTCTATGTTTACCTTGGCCTACAATAAAGCCAACAAATCCTCCATTAATACTATAAATTCCTTTCGCGATTTTCTTTTCTTTTCCTTCTTCTATTCCTCTGTTTCATTGACAAACGTTCATTTTCGACTTTTATGATTTCATGACCTCT